GAGACGTTATTTATCTTTGACCCATCAAAATGAATGCGGTCATTTATTTACAGAATCAAAGATTAACATCAAACATTTACATTAATTTGGCAAAATATGAAAACAACAACAGCATAATTAATCAATCAGGAAAACCATACGGCCATGGTTTTCCGTTGCTTCACCACAGACATTAATGAAAACATCTGGATTAATTTTCTAGCAGAAAGGAGAGTTTAAAGATGGAAAATTGAGATTTATCTTACAGAGAGATGTGTGAGGGAATTTATCTGTTTTAATCAGAACAGCACGCTCTTTGGAAATCAGCTTGTCCCAAACGGTACACTTTTGGGTGAAGGTCGACTTTACCTTTCTGAAGATAGATCAGGTCGGCGTGAAGTCCTACTTCCAGCCACTTTCAGCGTCTCCGTTGAGAACAGCTAAAATACCTCGAGAGTCGTGCGAGGTTATCCAAACAGAAGTTATAATTCCCAAAATCGTCTCTGGATCAGCTCGTTTGGTCCAGTAGCATCCATGAATGCCTGAACGCTCTGCATTCTGGATTCCAAGAACTCTGAAACTCTTTAACTCTGAAACTCTTGAACTCTGAAACTCTCAAAACTCTGGAAACTCTTCCATCCTCAACTCTACTGTTGAACTGGGAAGTTGCCACATTTAAACGGCTATACTTCCGGTTCATTTGAGAGCTTTCTGATTCGTGGATGGACCAGAACAGAGGTGTGGTTTGTGATGTAAGGTGTTATGGAAAGTCAAGGATTGTTTAAGAACAGACAGAAAGATTGTTGGAGAAAACCAGTCTTAGTGGCGTCTCTACTCCTAGTATCTGCTGTGAAAGTTAAACATGACATTTCTTTTCAGTAAACTTTTTAGTTGACCGAAGCTCGAACTTTAACACACTTACAAATTTGCTCATTGAAGACAGAAAAATCAAGAAATGCATATTACCCTGATTTCTTCTTTGAATGAGGAATAAAAATCATTACTACTGTTTAAGTAAATAAAAATGAGTAGTTCACTTCAACATGTAAACATTGTTTGAACTAACACAATTTGATTATCAAACATTTGTAAAATAGTAATGATCATAGAGAATTGTCTTTTCCACTTGATTAATTCAAGAAGGAAAGTCTCAGGATGGGTCAAACTGTATTTCTGGATGCAGATCAATGAAATGACAGTTTCTGACCATATGATCCTAAGGTCATTGATTTGACATCAGGTCAAGTTCACTACAGTCCCCCCTTTGGAAATCATCGCCTGTCCATGGGGATGAATTCCAACCGTGAACTTACACCTTCAAGTGTCCTTGAGCTTGATGTAATCCAGCAAGGAAGACCAAAGTCAAAAGTAATCCAGCAAGGAAAACAAAGTCAAGGTAATTCCACAATGTTCTTGGTAATTCCATTGTGTTGATGATAATTCCATAATGTTGTTGGTAATTCCATTGTAGCAATGCTTTAACCCCTTGGAAACAGAGTCTGTAATCCACTGGAAAAAGTCATATAATCCACAACGGTAAATCCACAACGATTGGAAGTGTTGATTAATCAGCATACAGAGGGGTACCCTTGGATTGAACTGAAGATGCGGCCACTGGATGAAGAGTGGAGACCAACGTCAGGATTGCAGGTCGCCTCCAGCGAAGGTCGTCTCTGGTCGACGTCCAGCCTGTGCCGTTCTGGTTCAAATGTGTCATGCAATTATGTGGTTTAAGGTGGGCTTATGAAGGGGATTTTACATAAGGCCTTAAACTATATGCACCTGGTGTGTAAGCTATTATGGTTGGGAACAGCTACAACTACCAGTTAAGGGGTGGAACATGCTGAAAAAGGTAACTACAGGGGTTTATACCTATAGAAAAGGGTTCCAAACTATTTTTCCATTTCTAACTTGGTTTAAGTTAGCTTTACATGGTAAAATATAGTTTGGTTCAATTGTCTGTTGTCTTTTAGACGAACGACTTGAGATTGGGTGATTGGTTTCCCCATAAATGTTTTTGGAAGTCTATGGCGAGACTCATCAAAAAGAATTAGCTATCCCCCCGAATAGAATTGTTCGAGTAGGTTCGGCTTAAGCGTTGTGAGATCAATGTAGATTATGGTACTTAAGGTAGCAATAATATACATTGACTCCGCAAAGATTGCAATTTAACGAATGAACTGCATGTTGGCATGGTTAAAGGCCTCTTAGTCTCTAACTTAACTACACAACAAAATTCATTCTTGCCTGGGGTGTTCGAAAACAATACCGAAAACCAATTAAACGATGTCTCAACATCGACAAAAACAGTGACTAAGCAACCAGTTAAACAACGTTTCAACATTGACAAAAGCAGTGATTAAGCAACTAGGAAACAACGTTTCGGTGCGCCACTCACTCTGAATGTCGGATTTGATCACGTTATCGCGTCTGGTAGCATTATCCTAACTGGCGTCACCCCCTTTCGGTCATGGGAGACCGCGAACACGGGTGAGGACGTCGCTCCATGAGCTAAAGTTAGGCTGTCCTTGAGTAGTTTTAACTGTTTGCGCAACTGAAAGAGGACTTTTAGGTCTGGATCGGAATCCAGTTTACCTTTCGATGGAGTGTATTTGTCTGGGTCAGTCAGATACAGTATCATCGATTTAATTGCAGGACCATCCAACTTCTGAAGTTGGATGATGTCTGGGTCAGGTGAAAATGACTTTTCATATTTTAGAAGAACTTGGCGAAGTTTGTCTCTTTCTTCATCAGATGTCATAGTGTCGGCTTGAGCGACCACCTGATCAATCTGTGATGAGACTGTTAAGGGTTCTTGCTATTTGGGGAGCTCCAACGAATCCTTTTCTGAGTCGTCGGACCTGTCTATGGGCAAGGCACCATAGGTTTGAGGTCCTTGGTCGACGTCATTGGTTGAGAAAAGAGCGATGGCCTGTGATGGTTTCGTGAAACATACTGGCCCAGCTTCTTGACTCGATACCAGGTTATCTGGGAGTCCTCCCAGAACTGGAATGCCTAGTTCAAAATCATGAAAATCAGTTTCTGAGTTTTCAGTTTGCGATGACTCATCATCGTTTGTGTGTGAGCTTATCCCCCCTTCGTCCGATGAGGGGTTCTTGGAGGCAACAACAGCAATGTCTTGGTGTGTTTCACCGACATCTGTAATGTTGTCATTTGCGCCTTCAGAGTTAGTAGCGATCAGATCACTACACTGTGCTCCTGGTTGGGTTCCCATTTCAGCGTGTATCAAAGTTTCTAAAAACCTTTGTATTTCCTCTGTCTCTTCCGAGCTCAGAGGTGTAGGGCCTTTTTTCTTGAACCTTTGTGATTTTTTCGCCTCGGGACGTTTCGTCCGAGGTGGGAGGCGGCTAGGTACGTCTTTGGTGGGTTCCTCTTCGGATTTCCCCTGATAATATGGGTCCTCTTGGATCCCATATCTTTGCGTCCTATGCATATCCCATTTACGATAATCACGTTCATCCTCTGAAAGAGGAGCCTTTTTGTTCCAGCGTGCACCTTCATTACGTGGTTCGTTAGTTTGAAAATACTGCCTTTTCTCGCCTGTTTTAGGAGGAGGTGGATACGCGCGCCTTCCTTCCATTTCTAGGGAGTGGGGTTTAACCTTTATACCAGGAAACACCTCTATGGGCGTCTTAGCATGAGAATGTACCTCAAATACATTCACAGCACACTGTTTAATCTCATTTATGGACTTTTCTCTGAAATTTGCCATAATTTGTACTGACATGCGTAGGTCAGTGTGGAGATTTTTGCTGAAAACATATTTAAAATTTTCTTCTTCCTCCATTCCGGTTTCATT